GGCTATCATGAACAATGCTGATATAAACACTGGTGCACAAACATCTTTTTGAGTCCCTGCTTTTAATTCTCTGGGGGATATACTTTGAAGTTGAATTACTAGAGCACATGGTAATTGTATATAAATTATAGAATTAATTTTTTGAGGAACCGCTATACTGTTTTCCACACAGCTGCTCCATTTTGCATTCCCACTAGCAATGCACAAGAGTTCCAATTTCTCTACACCTCTACCAGCATTTGTACTTTTTTTTTTCTTTAAATAGGAGTGACCTTGGTGTGGGTGTGAAGTGGTAACTCATGATGGTTTTAATTTGCATTGTTCTAAAGATTAGTTAAATGTCTTTTCATGTGCTTATTAGCCATTTGTTTATCTTTTTTTGGAAGAAATGTCTGTTCAAGTCCTTCGCCCATTTCTTGACTGGGTAGTTAGTTTCTTATTGAGTTGAATTCTTTATATAGTCTGGATATTAATCCCTTATCAGATCTATGATTTGCAAATATTTTCTCCCATGCTGTGAGTGGCTTTTTTACTCACTTAATAGTATCTTATGATACACAAAAGTTTTTAATTTTGATGAAATCTACTTTATTTTTTCTTTTGTTGCTTATGTTTTTGTTTCATATTTAAGAAATCATTATCAAACCCAATGTCACAAAGGATTTCCTTCTAAGAGTTTTATGTATAGGTTTTATGTATAGGTCTTCAATCCATTTTGAGTTAGTTATTGTATATGGTGTAAGTCATTTGCTTGCATATGGAAATCCAGTTTCTCAGAACCACTCATTGAAAAGACTGTCCTTCAATTCACAAAAGAGGACATCCAAGCAGCCAACAAACACATGAAGAAATGTTCAACCTCACTAATCATCAGGGAGATGCAAATCAAAACCACACTGAGATACCACCTAACTCCAGTCAGAATGGCAATTATCAACCACTCAAAAAATAACAACTGCTGGAGAGGGTGTGTCGAAAAGGGAACACTTCTACACTGTTGGTGGGAGTGTAAACTAGTGCAACCTCTGTGGAAAGCAGTGTGGCGATTCCTAAAAGCTCTAAATGTCGACCTCCCATATGACCCCGCAATCTCCCTACTGGGAATATACCCTGAAGAACTCAAATCACTCTATAAAAAAGATACCTGCACACGTATGTTTATCGCAGCGTTGTTCACAATAGCAAGAACCTGGAAACAACCATGCTGCCCATCAAAAGAGGATTGGATTTAAAAAATGTGGTACATATACACGATGGAATACTACGCAGCCATAAAAGAGAAC